TATTTGCCAACATGACGTTGTTTTTTCAAAGACGCATGTTGCTTTCATGTTCATCACATTCATGTATAATTGTTTTTAGTGTTTGTTGATTTCGTGTATATGACTCTTTCATCGTTATGAGTTTGTTGTAGTTTAATTTTGTGGTTATAAAATAAGACGATTCGGCATGATTGCCAATATGACAACGCTCCACCAGAGACCAAATGACGAAGGTGGTTTTGACAACATATGAAGTATTTTATGATAGAATGTATAATTCCAATTTGATTAAAAAGAGTCGAAACTTCTGTTTAAGTTTTGCTTCGTGAACATTCTGTCGAGTTGCAATCAATCTGCAATGAAAAAAGGAGTTAGTACTGATCTCGCAGTCCAAACTAAATTTTCTTTGTTCCGTTTCGACCAAACGGAATGACTGGAATACAACTGACATGTTCTTGACCTGGACTGGTTTTGTAGGTAGCGAAACGTCCAATTTGCTGTTTATATTTCCCTTAAATTGACAAATGTGTAGTGATCTGCTAAATCAGACATAATTGGTTAACGTGACAATAATTAGAATTCAGCAGCCAAAATTGTGTTAACATACATCATAGATTTATAACACATCTGACTTAAAAAAAAATGAAAAAAAACAACATGCAAAATAAAATTTACAAAGACGCCAACAAAACAGTATTTGGTTTTGATATTACAGTATAGCAATACTTTATAACGTACACACTTTCCCGATAAAGTACAAATAAAAGGATGGTAGCGTGTCCATTTTATAGGATTTGTTGGTGACTTTGACATGATTGTTTTTTGGAAGCTAAACTATGCAAAATCCATATTCAATATAAATCATTAACACAATATTAAGTTCTAACGTCATTATAATTTTATAACTTCCAACTAGTGAAACAATTTCACTTATTTATATACTTTCGTTCACATTCGTAAATAAAAGAAACATATAGATCGTTCTACTTTTAGTTTAACACCAACTATAATGTATCTCTTTTTCTACCAAAAAGCTAGATCTATTTTTCACACTCTCACACTCACTCATAAACAGTCATCTTGACGGTGCCGAGACGGTTACCAATAGTACCATTCTCTCAGGAGACACCGGGCGGTATATATACATCATTCACACAAATATTTTTTAAAAACAAACACGCAAAAATGAATGCCATTATTCTGAAACCGAACTCCGTTTAAACTACTGCATGATATATAAATGCAAGGGTGTACACAATGCAAACAATGAAAACAACACAATCAAAACCAGATCTCTTATTTGCACCTTTAAACCCAAACGCACAAAGGAACACCCAAGCCAAAAAATAACAAAACCCAAAAAAGATGATGCACACATACCGATCCACCCCTAGAGTCATACGATCAAAAGGAACATGATAGTAGAAAACAAACAATGAAAAAACTACAAAGTAAATCAAACGATACACAACGTCAGCACCCAAAATCTAAAACTAGAAGACCATCCTGAATTATTTGTGAAATTGACACTGCATATTTTCCGTTAGTCTTTGGTTCCTTCCAGTTAACTTGTCGAGACAAACAACGAGACTTTCTTTGACAAAACCTTGGCTCTTTTTCTTGTTCTCAGATTAATCATTGTGAATCGAATGTAAATAGTTTTTGCAAGGTTACAAGGAAGTGGCAAAATTATACATTGTGTCAAACATACGAACGAATCGAAACAACGGGATAGGAAGCAGTTGTTTTGAAAAAAAATTATATGGATATACGAATGGCCAAGTAACCAATCAACGCAAAAAATATAGAGAATCTGTAAACAGTAAACATTATCACCACGACACGATCGACAGAAAAAGAAGATGTTAATCACGCATTATATTTTAGTCATTGATGATTGCGATTGGTCATTTCTGAAAATGCACAACGATTTAGGTGAGCGACACAGTTTCTTTATAGCCTCTTTAAAGAGCATCTTGATAGTTCACCTTAAAGTGTACACTCACACATACCTGTCGTCTTGTTATGAAATATATTCGCAACAACAATTAATAATATTAGCTGTATGAGAGATCATGTCTTTTATGGTAGAACAAAGAGCATTCGAGCTTGCATGCAAAACATTGAGGGGTTCTTTAAAAATGTTTTATACTGTATACTTCCGTACCCTTTGTAATGCAGCTAAAATGTCTGTAATACTGGGATTCTTAAGGGTTTTGCTGCAAAAAATTGTGCAGTGAATTTTCTCTGTAACTGTTGTTATTCTACTGATCGAGAAATAGTCTGTCACTTGCGGATTATCTGCTAACCTTTCCTCGACTCTGTTGTGGATGCTTATTTGTTTGTTCGTCTTTTTGTTGTTGGTTATTTGTCTTGTATTGACTAATGATCCTCAGTATGATCTTTTCATTGTTTTCCCACTAAATAATATCTGAGAGGAATTTTATTTCTTCAGTTACCCATTAACTTGAAACTTGAAATAAAGGAAGTAAAAAAAATACTTACCAGAAAGACAAAAGACACCAAAGGAATTTCAAACTCATAAGTCGAAAACAAAATGACAATATCATGGCAGAAAACAAAAACTATCAAAAGACAAACATCAGTACACAAAACACAACACAGACAATTAAAGTACCGAGTGACCTATCAACAGCAATAATGTTATGACCTTTATAAGTAACAGTATTATGTTAAGGAGATAGATTTGAAGGACAATTCTTTAATTTCAAAGCTTTATTATCAATATAACCGAATTTGTGGACTTTTTAGTCCGCTTTATTTTGACTCTGTTGGGTAGTTGAATCAGTGTTTTTTTTTAATGTTATTTCAAGATATAAATCGCTGTGATCGATAACATGCTATGAATCTATTCCAATAAACTGCATGCGTACGTGTACCACACACTATACATTGCAATATTCCCATTTTCTTCATTTTATTTGCAATTTTTCATTTGCGTTTGTGATGAAAATTCATCAGAAAAATCAAAATAAAAAGCGCAGAAAAATCTGAACGTTCTTCCTCGATAACTTGGGTCGATACAACTACTGGTGGGTCATCAAAGTAGTCAACATTGGTTATCAATTAGTAACTGAATTGATTTCATTTTACAGTTGGTAAGTTCTGGATGGCAAAATTTCTAATTCTTGATTTTAGGATTTGATGTTTTCAAATTTTGTAATTTTGTCTTTTATACAAAGAGGGGTTATTGCTAAGGAGCAATATAGATGAAATTACTTATACACGAGTGTTCATAGAACCATTACTTTATTATTTTCATTTTGTACATCTCTATTCTGTTTGTTTTTGGGTGATATAGGTATAAAACACTCTTTTTCCTTTAATATGTCAAATGTTTACCATAATGAAGTACATTGTTATATTAAGAAAAGTAAACTATAGTTTGTGTGCCAAACTTATTTAATGTATGTAATGATTTTTTATTTATTCTACTGTTAAATGACTTTGGTTTTCACAAAGATGTTTAAAGACACGACAGAACGATTTATAAAAACGAAAGAAAGTTATGTTTCTTGTTACCTTGACTATTGTACAGTGTAATCTGATTGTTGTACACAAAAAAAAAAGAATGTACTATAAAACTTTGTAAGGGGAAAGCATGGAATTCGCTAGGACGAGGGGACGAGAAAATACTTGAGAAAAAAAATGATAAGGTTACATAAAATTATGATGATGAGGATTAATTTGTGTTTAACATTCTTAAGGACATTGTTTCCTTTCATTACGAATTAAAGAAAATGCGCCACCTTTAACTATATTTTGATATTCAACATAACTTGTCTTACTGTGAAATAAAAAGTATTTAATCTTATTATTAATCTAGTGATTATGAATACATATGCCACAAGTCTATCTTAAGAACACAGTTATCTACTTAGTATATTTTGATAAAACAATATAGCTTAAGTTTTACTGTGAAGTTGATATATGTTTTCAAAACATGTCGAACGCCAACTGCTACTAGACTGTTTAAATGGAAATAAGAAGATGTGGTATGAGTGCCAATGAGACAACTCTCCATCCAAGTCACAATTTGTAAAAGTAAATTATTATAGGTCAAAGTAAGGCCTTCAACACGAAGCCTTGGCTCACACCGAACAGCAAGCTATAAAGGGCCTCAAAAATGACTAGTGTAAAACCATTCAAACAGGAAAACCAACGGTCTAATCTATATAAAAAACAAGAAACGAGAAACACTTATAAACCACATCTACAAATGACAACCACTGAACAACAGGTTCCTAACTTAGGACAGGTGCAAACAAATGCAGCGGGTTTGAACGTTTTAACAGGCGCCAACCTTCACCCTAACCTGAAATAATAGTGTAACATCACAACATAGAAAGACACACTATAAAAAGCTTTTTTTGTTAAATTATTTTGTCTTCTAAAGGTATGAGGAAGTAGTCATCTCTTTTTTCAATGTACAAACCTACAACAGAATCTGCCATCGTTTGCATTCAATTGAGTCAAGGGTCTTTTAAAATCACCATTCTTTTTATTTCTTTTTAAATGACAAATAAACCGTAAAGTTCCCTGCCGTATTTGGTGGATTTATCAACTCAATATCTGGAATATCACTATGATACCAGTGAGTAGGTTTTACATAACACCAAAGATATTTAATGAAATCTTATTAGGATTTTCTTTTTACAACCATCTGATTAACAAGTCGTCAGCAAAAATCAACTATCAATAGTTCTGGAGTTGTGTATATGTGATAAATTGTTATGTCAATAAAAATGTAAATACACCGAAATTAAGTACAAGGAGTACAGCAATTCGCATCACATTTCATGGTATATTTATATATATACTTCAATTGACTAACAGTTACCTATCAATTATTATCCAAACTTGTAACTCGTGAATAAAGGTTCTATTTTTACAATTATCCTATTTATTGTTTTCATTGAAATCTCTATATAGATTTAAATACAATGTTAGGTTGTATTGAACAAAACCTCGTTGAAGCATGTCGTTTAAATCGACTTACGTATATCCTTCAACAATAATGGACTGGCAAACGTTCTTTCTTAGTGCTGTTATAGTTTCTTTATTAGCTTTCCATATTTACAATATCGAACAAAAAATGTTAAATTTAAGCGAGAAAATTGAAAAGTCAGCTAACTTACGGATAGAGAGACAGGACGAGAAACTAAAACAGATACTCAAAGGTAATCTATACAATGGAGACAAAGTGTAAACGGAAGTAAATAACATTTACAATGAATAAATAGGTGTAAATATATTTTCTGCATTGTTGCAAAAATGATAAAAAATAATATAGTAAGTAATAAGATATGCAGCACTGATAAACATGATATAAGAGTTACATTATATATAGGATTTATGTCACTGCGACAGCAAACAAACTATTTTTTTCTTTACCTTTTTGGGGGGTGAGATAATTAAAAAAAAATCTGTTTCCTTTAGTAATTAATCAAATGTTATACCATATTGTAAGTATCGTGTAAATTAAAATATTGAAATAAAGTGAAAAGCAAATTAAGGCCGTTGCCTTGCATCTTCTGTGTGACTTATTTAAAAAGTGTTGGTACTTTCACGATTGGGTTATATGCTTTAATCAATTATTATCCAAACTTGTAAGTCGTAAATAAAAGTTGACAATTTTACCATTTTACATTCAACGTTCTAGTTTGAATCTCTTTATCGATTTATATGCACAGATATGCAGGTATGAACAAAAAATCCTTGAAGCAGGTCAATTAAAAAGACTTCCTAAAAACAAACAACAATTTTGGAATGGCAAACGTTTTTATTTCACAGTGCTGTTATAGTTTTATTATTATCTTTCCATATTTACTATTTTGAACGAAAAATAGTTAATCTAGGTGAGATAATTGAAACATCAGTGGACTTACGGATCAAGAGACAGACAGAGGAACTTAAGCAAATACTCAAAGGTAATCTATACAATGGAGACATAGTGTAAATGGAAGTAAATAACATTTACAATGAATAAATAGGTGTAAATATATTTTCTGCATTGTTGCAAAAAGGATAAAAAATAATATAGTGAGTAATAAGATATGCAGCATTGATAAACATGATATAAGATGTACATGATATATAGGATTTATGTCACTGCGACAGCAAACAAACTATTGAATAAACAAACAAGAAAAAGACACGTAAAAACCATCCGTTTTTTTTAAATTTTGCCCATTTCTATTCATTTTTGTTTTGGTTTTTTTTTTTACCTTTTTTGGGGGATGAGATAATTTAAAAAAATGTGTTTCCTTTATGAATCAATCAAATGTTATACCATATTGTAAGTATCGTGTAAATTAAAATATTGAAATAAAGTGAAAAGCAAATTAAGGCCCTTGCCTTGCATCTTCTGTACGATTTATTTAAAGTAATTTTTGTACTTTCACGATTGGGTATATGCTTTAATCAATTATTATCCAAACTTGTAAGTCGTAAATAAAAGTTCAAAATTTTACTACTTTACATTCAACGTTCTAGTTTAAATCTCGTTATCGATTTATATGCACTGATAGGCAGATATGAACAAAAAACTCCTTGAATCAGGTCAATAAAAAAGACTTCCTAAAAACAAACAACAATTCTGGAATGGCAAACCTTTTTTATTTCACAGTGCTGTTATAGTTTTATTATTATCTTTCCATATTTACTATTTTGAACGAAAAATAGTTAATCTAGGTGAGATAATTGAAACATCAGTGGACTTACGGATCGAGAGACAGACAGAGGAACTTAAGCAAATACTCAAAGGTAATCTATACAATGGAGACATAGTGTAAATGGAAGTAAATAACATTTACAATGAATAAATAGGTGTAAATATATTTTCTGCATTGTTGCAAAAAGGATAAAAAATAATATAGTGAGTAATAAGATATGCAGCATTGATAAACATGATATAAGATGTACATGATATATAGGATTTATGTCACTGCGACAGCAAACAAACTATTGAATAAACAAACAAGAAAAAGACACGTAAAAACCATTCGGTTTTTTAAAATTTTGCCCATTTCTATTCATTTTTGTTTTTGTTTTTTTTTTTTTGCTTTTTTGGGGGATGAGATAATTTAAAAAAATGTGTTTCCTTTATTAATCAATCAAATGTTATACCATATTGTAAGTATCGTGTAAATTAAAATATTGAAATAAAGTGAAAAGCAAATTAAGGCCCTTGCCTTGCATCTTCTGTACGATTTATTTAAAGTAATTTTTGTACTTTCACGATTGGGTATATGCTTTAATCATTTATTATCCAAACTTGTAAGTCATAAATAAAAGTTCAAAATTTTACTACTTTACATTCAACGTTCTAGTTTAAATCTCTTTATCGATTTATATGCACTGATAGGCAGATATGAACAAAAAACTCCTTGAATCAGGTCAATAAAAAAGACTTCCTAAAAAAAAACAACAATTCTGGAATGGCAAACGTTTTTATTTCACAGAGCTGTTATAGTTTTATTATTATCTTTCCATATTTACCATTTTGAACGAAAATAGTTAATCTAGGTGAGATAATTGAAACATCAGTGGACTTACGGATCAAGAGACAGACAGAGGAACTAAAGCAAATACTCAAAGGTAATCTATACAATGGAGACATATTGTAAACGGACGTAAATAACATTTACACTGAATAAATAGGTGTAAATATATTTTCTGCATTGTTGAAAAAAGGATGAAAAATAATATAGTGAGTAATTAGATATGCAGCATTGATAAACATGATACAAGATGTACATTATATATAGGGTTTATGTCACTGCGACAGCAAACAAACTATTGAATAAACAAACAAGAAAAAAACACGTAAAAAACCATTCCGTTTTTTTTTAAATTTTGCCTATTTCTATTCATTTTGGTTTTTTATTGCCTTTTTGGTGGGTGAGATAATTTAAAAAAAAATCTTTTTCCTTTATCAATCAATCAAATTTTATACCATATTGTAAGTATCTCGTGTAAATCAAAATATTGAAATAAAGTGAAAAGTAAATTAAGGCCCTTGCCTTGCATCTTCTGTACGTCTTGTTTAAAGTAATTTTGTTCTTTCACGATTGGGTTATACGCTTTAATCAATTATTATCCAAACTTGTAAGTCGTAAATAAAAGTTCAGTATTTTACCATTTTACATATAATGTTCTAGTTTAAATCTCTATATCGAATCATATGCACTGATAGGCAGGTTAAACAAAAACTCCTTGAAGCAGGTCAATCAAAATGACTTCCTTAAAACAAAAGACAATTCTGGAATGGCAAACGTTTTTATTTCACAGAGCTGTTATAATTCTATTATTATCTTTTCACATTTACCATATTGAACGAAAAATAGTTTATCTAAGTTAGATAATTGTAGCATCAGTGGACTTACCGATCATGTGACAGACCCAGGAACTAAAACACATACTCAAAGGTCATCTGCACAATTGAGACATGGTCTAAATGGAAGTAAATAACATTAATTTAACAATGAAGTTATGGGTGTAAATATATTTTCTGAATTGTTGAAAAAAATATAAAAATGAAGATCATAGTGAGAAATAAGATATGCAGTATAGATAAACATGATATGAAATGTACATTGTATACTTGGTTTACGTCAGTTTGACAGCAAGCAAACAATTGAATAAATCAATAAAAGACACTGAGAGCTAGACATATGGTATGCAACAAAAGACTGATGTCTATACAATGATAATAATAAAAAAAGATCTTAATCGCTTATAGTTATCAAGTTTAAAAGAGAAGCGAAAGATACCATAGGGATATTCTCAGGTGCTCCGGAAGGGTAAGCAGATCCAGCTGCACATGTGGCACCCGTCGTGTTGCTCATGTTAGTACAAACCCGGTAACAAGTCAAATTCGGTAACAATTTGGGCAACTATCAATGAAAAATTTCATTTTCTGCACAATACTTTCACTTTGTCTTATATTGCGATCTCGCGTTACTTTCTTTCAGTACTTGTAATCATGTGAGCTAAAAAGTGCAAATAGGTTAGCATGTGCGACGTCTGCAAACGGTAGAGCTGATGAAAAGGCAATTCTTGTTAATTTATGCGAGTCACCGGACTCATATGCATAGATATACTCTCCAAATTCTACGAGCACGGAATAAGCCTATGCAATCATGTGAAAACTTTTTCAAATTAAAAGGACGTAGACAAAATACGTGAATATTAAGTACATAATCGATGAGAACAATTAATAAGAAATCAAATGATGTTGGTTTATTTATATGACAATGCATCTAATATTATTTCGAGACAGAAACTTTTGCCTCCGCCCTAAGTCTTTGTCGGTCAATTCAATGTTTTCTGTATGGGTTGCACTTTTAATGTCCAACGAATTCTGCAAGTCCTACAAAAGACTTTAAGACGTTAGAGCAATCTCCGACTATAACCAAGTATGCTGACAATACTTTTGTTTTGGAATATGCAATTGACATGGATCGGAGTATTGATGCAAATATCTATGGAGTGATGTTCAGTAATGTAGAACAGTATAATTATTTAGTAATTTTATCGCATCTCTGATAAATTATGACGTTATGATTGGTTTAACGCGGTCACGTGATGAACCCCTATGGATACGTATGGGGTCAGTAGATTTCATATGGGGTTTATGACGTCACGTTAACAGTTAATGGTACCGTCATCGATTAATGTTGTTGTATTTCATTTTTTTTTTATTTTCATTTTTTATACATAACTTAGCAGGAAAAGTCCCGTGTGCGATAAATTCGTTATACGGATCACTACTGACCCCCTATGACCTCATCCCCTATGGATTTTACTAACCCTGTATGGATCTGTAGGGGGTCAGTAGCAAACCATAAAACTTATAGTAGAAAGTATCTAATGAAGTGAACCACGATGAATACAATTTAGTTAAGAGCGTTCAGTCTTATTAATGAAGATAGGAATTATAGCGAAAAGTACTATATGTCACTAACAAATGAAAAGTATTGGAAACCCAAATTTACAGTGATTATCTTATCTTTTAAAGTATGTTGTAATTTTGGATTTTACCATACTTTTTAAAACATAATTATATGATTAGAAGTTGACATCTATTTTTTTTTTTGAAAGCTGAAAGATCATAGATAGTGATGTTTCACGAAACAAGCACTATTGTATAAATTGTAGTTTGCTTAAATTGTTTTGTCAGTTTTCACGCGACAAGTTTTTGATAACACTGCCTGATTAATATTTTCGACCCTATGATGTACAACTGCTTGACTATTGTCCTTTTAAACAAATCGAATGTATAAAAAGGCCTGCCACTCTTTCTGGGAAATAACAATACGGATAAAAGATAAGTACAAAATATATCCGTCTTGGATTTCAAAATAGAAGGTTTATAAAATGTGTTTTTGTAAAAACACCATTACGTCCATCTTTAGTTGTCCTGTAATATAGTCTAAATTTGTCTATATCTATTTCAAAAACTAAATTATCTTGTTCTGTGTCAAACACTTACTAGGAGGGATTAATTTTCCGACTGCAAAGAAAATTAAATTAAAGAAGTTAATAGTAAGTGAACTGGTTTTAATCATAATGATTAATGATTAAGATATCCTTTTACGCACCAATTACTTACAAAATATGCATTAAAAAATCCCGCTAGTTGAAAAATACTGTGTTTTTCCTAGGTATATTTATTTTACAGATGCTGAAAGCAGTTATGAAAGCAAAATAAAAGAAGCATTACATGAATTCAAAGAGAATTTAACAATTACACTGGAAAGTATGAAAGCTGCAAATAAAACGAATAACGAAGACAAGGACAAAGGTTATACTATACTCAATATTTTAATTCTAGAAAAGTAAAAGAAAATAATTTTGAAATGAAATGAAAAACACCACTCTCAAAACCGATTTACAACTCAAGCCAGACATGAAAAAAAAAGAATAGTGTTAATAGACTTGCTAAGTACAGACAGTAAAGCATGTCGCTTTTTTCTAGCTTTTTTGACACAAAAACCTCCCTTTTTCATTATCTATTTTAAAACAATGAACATTTTTCTGGTAAAATTGCAACAAATCCTGTATGAATTTTATGAAATTGTTCTCTTCATCAGTGATATGCATTATAATAGGTAATATGTATTTCACGTCAATAGTTAACAAACTAAGCGACACAAAAAGTCAAAAGACATGTAGAGGTTAAGATATAGATCTGAAATAAAAGACAGACTAATGTCTACACAGTAATTCAAACCCTCAATCGATTCGATAAAATTGTGAACACATTTAAAAGACCCTATATGAGATATGTCATTGACAAAAAATTCCTTAACGAAAGATATTTAATGGAAATATAGACACTGAACACAGTCATTATAGCTTTAAACATGCACGTTATCATGTGGCGGAGTTACACTATAAAATTTTATATTTTAATCCAAAGAATCCCCTCTTCCGTAATCTCGATCAGTGAGAAAACAGAATATACACAGTACAAAGGACGATAGTACTTACAATACAAATTAGTTCATATAAAAGTTTGATATTGCTTTTGGAAACAAGATTGCCTCGTTTGTATACAAATAGTTAAATCATTTAAATTTCAATTCTCGATTTAAAAGCATCTGTAAGAACCATTCAAATTAAACATGAACGAATTATACAAAATTGTTCGAAGTCATAAAATCTACAAAATATATGTTAGCAACGTTTACAGACGTTTTACGAATAAATGTGCACATTTTTTTTTATTATAAAACATCCATGCAACCACGCATCCCATATTTCATGATAGGACCCGACACCATTTTAGTGTTTCAACAGTTAAAGCTTGGGATGGTCATCGTAAGATGCATTACTTTAATATAATTAAATATGTAAATTATACATGTATATATTGATATATTTGTATTTTAATTCTTCATCAATAGATCTAGATAGTATGACAGATCTGCCATCATCAGGGGTCCAACTGTTAATTTTATGTTAAAGTCTTTAACTTTCATCTAGTAAGCATGTCTCCCATACTTTTATGTCTGCTATATGCAACTATTGATGCAACATTGAATACTTGTACACATTCTTCGTTAACTGGCAATAAATAACAGTGTTTCAAGATACGTTTTTTTTTTATTTTACGTATATATGGGTTATATTTAGTTACTAAAACTAACGGAATATTTTCTTTTTTCTTCGATTTGTTTTGTTGTAATAATTCCTTACGGTCAATTGATAAAGCATCAGTAATATCATCATCTATTTCGACGTTATCATAACCCCTATCTACTAATTTCACTTTAAAATTAGTTAGATTGTTTATTAATTTGTTATGGTCACTTGTGTTTCTTATCTGTTGTATTGCTTCACTTTTAATAAATCCTCGGAATACATGCTGTGAGTGACAGCTATTTCTGTGCAGATAGAGATAAGAATTCGTTTCTTTTAAATGTATTTCAAGGTCAAGAATGCCATGTGTTGTAAATCATTGACCTTTAATTACATCAACATCTTAGAACGATATTTTGTCGTTTGAGATTTCATAGGTGAACTTCAGTAAGGGGTTATAATTATTTGCTAGACGAAAAAAATCTATAATTTCATCTGATGTTCAATCATATATTATGAATCTATCGTCCCTATATCTGCCACGATAGAATATTTTGTCTTTATGTTGAAATGCAGAAGTTATTTGATTCATTATTTCAAACATAAGTATGTCACAGATTTCCGGTGAAGTGAATGCACCAATTAGCGTACCTATTATTTGTTTATAAATTTTCCCATCAAATTCAAATACATTGTTTTCTAAAATGACTCTTGACAGATGTATTAATACATTGAACGGCGAAGGATTGACTTTGAAGTTTGATTTGTCAAAATTGTCATAGGTTCGTTCAACGGCACTTATAATAAAGCAGCTTGAGGAAGATTAATAAACATCTGTGTTATATCATACGAAACCAAAAGGCTATTTGCCATAGGTTTTAATTTCTCAATGATATTAATGAAAGATGTAGTATCTTTTATATATGTAGACTGATTTTGAACTATAGGTATAAGAAAATAATCTACATAATAACCGATAAGTTCAGTTACGGAACCACACTGTGATATAATTGGTCTACCAGGTGGAATTACATTTAATTCATTTAATCCATCATGTTGTATTTGTTTGAACGTCTCCGTTTCAAGACGGAAAATTTTTGGGAGAATATAAATTCTCCCTAAACGTGCATCTCTTAATTTTTTACCATTTGTTGAAATTTTGTCAATAATGCCTTGGCGACCTGGGTTTTCAATTCTGCTATGTTAAATACATCTAATTGGCAGTAATGTTGAGTATTTATTTGTCTTGTGACTTCTGCTTTGTAGTCTAGCCTGTCTAAAATAACACAATTTGAATTTTTATCTGCCTTTTTTATTACTATTGTTTGACTCAATGCAGAAAACGATTCTCAGTAAGGTGCAGTAGGACAGCCGTCCTTGCATACATTTTGTTATTATAAAACACCCATGAAACCACGCATCCCATATTTCATGATAGGACCCGACACTATTTTAGTGTTTCGGCAGTTAAAGCTTGGGATGGTCATCATAAGATGCATTACTTTAATATAATCAAATATGAAAATTATACATGTATATATTGATATATTTATATTTTAATTCTTCATCAATAGATCTAGATAGTATGACAGATCTGCCATCATCAGGGGTCCAACTGTTAATTTTATGTTAAAGTCTTTAACTTTCATCTAGTAAGCATGTCTCCCATACTTTTATGTCTGCTATATGCAACTATTGATGCAACATTGAATACTTGTACACATTCTTCGTTAAACTGCAATAAATACCAGTGTTTCATGATACGTTTTTTTTTTTTATTTTACGTATATATGGGTTATATTTAGTTACTAAAACTAACGGAATATTTTCTTTTTTCTTCGATTTGTTTTGTTGTGATAATTCCTTACGGTCAATTGATAAAGCATCAGTAACATCATCATCTATTTCGAAGTTTTCATAACCTCTATCTACTAATTTCACTTTGAAATTAGTTAGATTTTTTATTAATTTGTTATGGTCACTTGTGTTTCTTATCTGTTGTATTGCTTCACTTTTAATAAATCATCGGAATACATGCTGTGAGTGACAGCTATTTCTGTGCAGATAGAGATAAGAATTCGTTTCTTTAACATTTATTTCAAGGTCAAGAATGCCATGTGTTGTAAATCATTGACCTTTAATTACATCAACATCTCAGAACGATATTTTGTCGTTTGAGATTTCATAGGTGAACTTCAGTAAGGGGTTATAATTATTTGGTAGACGAAAAAAAATCTATAATTTCATCTGATGTTCAATCATATATTATGAATCTATCGTCCCTATATCTGCCACGATAGAATATTTTGTCTTTATGTTGAAAAGCAGAAGTTATTTGATTCATTATTTCAAACATAAGTATGTCACAGATTTCCGGTGAAGTGAATGCACAAATTGCCGTACCTTTTATTTGTTTATAAATTTTCCCATCAAATTCAAATACATTGTTTTCTTAAATGACTCTCAACAGATGTATTAATACATTGAACAGCGGAGGATTGACTTTGAAGTTTGATTTGTCAAAATTGTCATAGGCTCGTTCAACGGCACTTATAATAAAGCAGCTTGAGGAAGATTAATAAACATCTGTGTTACATCATACGAACCAAAAGGCTATTTGCCATAGGTTTTAATTTCTAAATGATATTAATGAAAGATGTAATATCTTTTATATATGTAGACTGATTTTGAACTATAGGTGTAAGAAAATAATCTACATAATAACCGATAAGTTCAGTTACGGAACCACACTGTGATATAATTGGTCTACCAGGTGGAATTACATTTAATTCATTTAATCCATCATGTGGTATTTGTTTGAACGTCTCTGTTTCAAGACGGTGAATTTTTGGGAGAATATAAATTCTCCCTAAACGTGCATCTCTTAATTTTTGACCATTTGTTAAAAATTTAAATGAAATTTTGTCAATAATGCCTTGGCGACCTGGGTTTTCACTTCTGTATTTGTTAAATACATCTAATTGGCAGTAATGTTGAGTATTTAGTTGTCTTGTGACTTCTGCTATGTAGTCTAGCCTGTCTAAAATAACACAATTTGAATTTTTATCTGCCTTTTTTATTACTATTGTTTGACTCAATGCAGAAAACGATTCTCAGTAAGGTGCAGTAGGACAGCCGTCCTTGCATACATTTTGTTATTATAAAACACCCATGCAACCACGCATCCCATATTTCATGATAGGACCCGACACTATTTTAGTGTTTCGGCAGTTAAAGCTTGGGATGGTCATCGTAAGATGCATTACTTTAATATAATCAAATATGAAAATTAGTCATGTATATATTGATATATTTATGTTTTAATTTTTCATCAATAGATCTAGATAGTATGACAGATCTGCCATCATCAGGGTCCAACTGTCAATTTTATGTTAAAGTCTTTAACTTTCATCTATTAAGCATGTCTCCCATACTTTTATGTCTGCTATATGCAGCTATTGGTGCAACATTTAATACTTGTAATTATTTTTAATTTTAGTTTCTTGTGTACAATTTGGAGTTTAGAATGGCGTTCATTATCACTGAACTAGTATATATATTTGTTTAGGGACCAGCTGAAGGACGCCTCCGGGTGCGGGAATTTCTCGCTGCATTGAAGACCTGTTGGTGACCTTCTGCTGTTGTCTGTTCTATGGTCGGGTTGTTGTCTCTTTGACACATTCCCCATTTCCATTCTCAATTTTATTGTACACATTCTTCGTCAAACTGCAATAAATACCAATGTTTCATGATACGTTTTTTTTATTTTTCGTAAATATGGGTTATATTTAGTAACTAAAACTAACGGAATATTTCCTTTTTTTCGATTTGGTTTGTTGTAATAATTGAATGAGATATGACGAGTCCACAACCAATCCTATATATACTAATACATACTCTAAGCATTTGATTTTTATTCTTATTCTATTTTGTCCAATTCAATATTTTAGCATAAATTCTTTTTATGTAAATATTTGTTGTTTTTTATGTGTTTCGGATAAGGTTTAACTACCAAGGCTTTTCCTCATCAGGTATCCCAAGCCTCTTAAATATTAAAATATTCAGTTTAGAAGGAAAGTTCAAAGCATCCATACGCATAGAATTTAATTTCTTGGATATTTGTCGTATCCTAATATCCAAGAAAATAAAGATCCAAGATCACTTGTGACAATTCGAAGATTGTTATGATGAAAAATTTCAGTTTTCATCATTCATTCTTTTCCAGTTAATACTAGCCTTAATAATCGAGTTTTAAAAGAAGTAGCACATAAAAAGATTTCAACACAAAGTACGCAACATAGAGATTTTATTTCCGGAAAAGCTAATGATGGAAATTTAGACACTTTTTCACACACAGCCATGAATGCCCAAACGTCGTTTTGGGAGGTTGATCTTGGTCGTGAATTCAAGATCAAACAAGTTGAAATATTTGTAAGAAAAGACTGCTGCGGTGAGTTGTACTTTTTGAACCTTATTTATATTGTTGTTAAATGCCATACTAGCATACAATTTAACATCTTTTGAACTAAAAAATACTATGCTGAATATATAAGAAGATATTTCGTATCAGTTTTGTAGCATTACTTTAACCCTACGTATGATGGCATTATGGCACAAAGCCGATAATAAATTCCGCAATAGTGGTTACGTTGCTGCAAAGACAGGTGGGGCTGCTGTTACGGATTTTGATTATGGGAGTGTCTTTCCGTCCATCAGTACATCTAGTGAAAACTGAAGTTTGCTTCATTGGATGTTTACATTCTTTTTCAACAATATACTGATTTATAAAGTTTTATGAAGAGCAGCTCCTATATCCGTTTATCGTCATTAAGATATATAACTTAAATCGTTGAAGATTCAATTTTTTGGATCAAGTATCATAATAAGATGAAAGTTCCTTATAACCTTGAAGAACTTTTCAAATAAGTTTAAGGTTTGTGAAAGTTACATCCTTTCAAAGGAACATTACACCATCCTCGACAGCAACGTTTCTTGTGTAATTGTTATGACAAATTGAACAAACAATATTTATATCCAGTTATATGTCTGAGCATTCTGTTCGAACTGGCATGTTTACTATAAATAAAGGAGGCATGATTTCCAATAAGACAACCATCTAACATGTCCATATGACGTGAATTTAAGAAACTATAGGTCATCGAATGGCTTTCAACAATGAGCAAAACCCATTACGTATAGTCAGCTATAAAAAGGCCCGAACACAACAAAATGTAAAACCAATAGCTCGATTTATGACAAAACAGCTACGATAAAAACAAATACATGTATAACAGACAGCCACCAACGACAACCACTGACTTGGAACAAGAACACATATATACATATAGAGTTCATTTACTTTCATATATTTCTGCTTTTTCTGTTTATCTTTCAAAAACAAATTATGATCATGCTGATTGGTCAATTCACGTCAAATACTGTAAAAAAGTGTTTTCAAAAAATAGCTAGGATAGATTTTTATTCGTCAAAAGTTTGTCAAAGCCTACAAGATTGAGGTTGAAGATTTTGCTGAAACATTTAAAGCTTCATATATTACAAAAAAAGTAAAATAACAAAAATACCGAACTCCGAAGAAAATTCAAAACAGAAAGCCCGTAATCAAATGGCAAATCAAAAACTCAGACACATTAAACGAATGGATAACAACTGGCATATACCTGACTTGGTATAGGCATTTTCTTATGAAGAAAATGGTGGATTAAACCTGGTTGTATAGCTAGCTAAACCTCTCACTTGTATGACAGTCGCATAAAATTGCATTATATTGACAACGATGTGTGAACAAAACAAACAGACATAATAGGTAAAAATGTAAAAAATAGGGGTACACAGCAGTCAACATTGTGTTATAATCTAAATCACTATAAAAACAAACAAATATGTAACAAAGAAGCACAAAAAGGCATATAGACAAAGCACATTAAATTTAGCAAAAATGAAAGACAAGAATACAAAAAATTACCATAGCACAACGACGGGATGTATAAGTGCAGAGCCACGTCAAATGGATATCACCAAAAACAGACTAAACAGTAAAAGTAATATTCATAAAGACAAATAAAAGAATACTATAACACGTTATTAAGATGATAAACAACGTCAGTACCCAGAATCTATACTTCAAGACCATCGTGTATTATTTGTGAACTTGATACGAAATATTTATCAACAAGGCCTTGGTACCTTTCGATATACATTTTTAGAAAAAGGACGAGACGTTCTTTGACATACCCCTGGTTCATCAACTTTTTACTCAGACACTGTCTTAGAATTAATTGCAAAATCAACATTAAAGATTGCATATTTTGGCTTTAATATTGATTCACTTATAGGGTCTTTGCATCGGAATTAAACATATTTATTCTAAAACCAGTTGTTGGCATGACACCGGTTATGTTCTTCTCATATATTTTATGATGGTATAATACTAAACCCCTAACAGGAGGGATTGTGCCTGATATTCATATGATGAAGACATAATCTTTCAATCAGTTTAATTGAGGTCTGGAGCTGGCATGTCAGTTACTGCTAGTAGTCTGTTGTTATTTATGTATTATTGTCATTTTGTTTATTTTCTTTTGTTTCCTATTCTGACATCGGTCTCGGACTTCTCTTAAACTGAGTTTTACTGTGTGTACTGTTGTACGTTTGTTTTTTCTACATTGGCTAGAGGTATAGGGGGAGGGTTGAAATCTCAAAAAACATGTTTAACCCCGCCGCATTTTTGCGCCTGTCCCAAGTCAGGAGCCTCTGGCCTTTGTTAGTCTTGTATCATTTTTCATTTTAGTTACTTGTGTATAATTTGGAGTTTAGTATGACGTCCATTATCACTGAACTAGTACACATATTTGTTTAGGGGCCAGCTGAAGGACGCCTCCGGGTGCGGGAGTTTCTCGCTGCATTGAAGACCCATTGGTGGCCTTCGGCTGTTGTCTGCTCTATGGTCGGGTTGTTGTCTCTTTGACACATTCCCCATTTCCATTCTCAATTTTATGTCTTAAAATTAATTGCAATTTCTTAAAACTTGAAAAAAGGCTTTTCATATTTTGTCTGATAAAATACCCGCTGTCCATGTTTACATATATCTAAATAGTTCCCTGAATTATTGGATACTCCATATATATATATATATCACATTATGTTGATGTAAAACTTCTCTCAGTGGAGTTGTCCCCCTTTTATATCACAAAGATAAACTCAGACCTGGGTGCATGTGACCGTGTTTCCAATAGTCTTGCTCATGCTATTTGAATATAAAAATACGAAGAATGTGGTATGATTGCCAATGAAACTAGTCTTCACCACAAAACCAAAAGGCATTGAAGTTAATAACTATAGGTCAACTTACACCCTTCTAAGATGAGTAAAACCCATACTGCTTAGCCAGCTATAAAAGGCCCCGAAATGACAAATGTAAAACAATTTAAACATGAAAATTAACAGGTAGATCTATGTACAAAACAATGAACGAAAAACAAAAAACATATGCAGCAACAAACGACAACAACTGAATTACAGGCTCCTGACTTGGGACAGACGCACAGAGATTTGGCGGGGTAATCATGTTTGCTGGCGCCAAACCTTTCTATAACCTAGAACAGTGGCGTAACAGAACAGCATAGACACAAACTGGAAAAAAGGGCTTCACTAATCAGATCGATACAAAGCAGAAAACAAAACTAACAAAAATATCAATGAAATTCAATAGATTAAGTGTAAATACGTAATTAACAGTAAAAGAAAAACAGTAAAAGAAAAGCATGACCTCGTGCAATGGTTAAACATAAGTATCGACATATTGTAGAACCGTGAATGTGCATATGTATATAACAATACTATTTAGCTTGGTTCTAATTTACCGATGACAAATTAAAATCGTTATTTATATTAATGAAAACAATATTCAAAGATGTAATTACTAATTACAGTGTTGGATTGATAACCTTTTAAAATATCTTTATTTAAAAGATAGATAAGGTTACGCGGACCGTATCTTAATTTATGGGCTTTGTAAACAACATCTTCGAACAAATTATGATCTGCTATCCCTTTAGAAAGTTTTTTTTACATGTACAGTAAAAATTCCAAAACAAATATTTGGAGTTCTATTGAATTAATTAAGAATTAAGTAAAAGTAAGTATTTGTTGTTACGAAGTCCCTGACTTAATAATTTACCAGTAATGCATAGATTACGTTGACGCATTAATGTGCTTTTGCATGTGCGTCAGATGCATTATATAAACAAGACTGTCCATTAATCCCAAAACTATAGAACATTACAAAATAACCAGGTCAACTATTCACATTACAGGTGATCTTATTCGTCAGTTAGATATATTGGTAGGACCATCACATAACAAGTTGGAAAAGTGCGCTTTCTACGAAGGACCCGCCCAGACTGGCTTCCATCTGGTTTTTGAATGTCCCCATATAATAAGTGGTCGGTATGTCATGATAGCGAAAGGAGTCTCAACCAATTTGGCACTGGCAGAAGTGAAAGTGATGGCATTTGAGGAGAATTCATACAGCTAATACTGTAGTTGCATTAATGCTTATATTGAAATGCGGGATAAATACATTTTTCAAAGATTTTTTTTTATTTACACGAGTATGAAAATGAACAGGGCTGACATTTTCGAAACTAATTTTTGCATGTTCAATGTGTCGAGATTACTTGAATAAAGTAAGAAAACGTTACATGTTATAATTTGTAATCGATCTATAGAATGCCCAAGTATACAAGTGACACGTCACAAAGTCTTTACGCTACAATATAAGAAATAAGTGACGTTCCCGCGTTGTGTTCGCGCCGTATTTAGAACATTCTGGGGCCGCAAAAAGATAAAATTCTATATACAATACAATCTCAAATGTGAATAAGAAATTTCAAATTAAAAATATCTTGACACTTGAAAATTAAAGTCTCTGTGTATAGAAAATAATTAATGTCTCTGTATAGTGGTGAAAAAATTTGACACTTTAACAATTAATAACGATTACAGTTCATATAAAAAGGGGGTTGTTAATAGTTCACATCTGTCCTTCATCATCTCGATTTGATGGCAGATTCAACCAATCACGGATTTTTTCACCAGCATTTAAACTTACTTGACGTCTTGGACGAATGTCTTGTACGGTACTTTGTTCACATGTATCATCTTTTTCCGTATTACATGTAATTTCGAGCGGATAAAGTTTCACTATCGGCCTTGTAGTTTCGGTATTCTTCATCTTTATTTTAGCGGCACGCACAAATTCATTGTTTCCTCGAACAAATTCAGTTTCAATGGCCATTTTCCAATTGATTCTCGTTGACTCATTGTGCACAAGAACAACGTCGCCAACTTTAATTTGTTCATTGTTAGTTCCATATGCTTTGTGATATTCTCTCAATGATGTTAAATAGTCATTTTTCCATCTTGTCCAGAAGTGTCTTAATAATTCTCTTTGTCGTTCATTTTGTTTAGTTAGTAATGAATAGTCCATAAACACGGGTTCACTTGAGTCCTGTTCTAAATGTGGATAAGATAATGATCTTATTCTTCTACCACATAGGAGGTGCGATGCAGTAAGTGGTTTGCTGTCGTTAATATTCGTTGAGGTGTATGTTAGTGGTCTGTCGTTCATTACACTTTCTACTTCAGTAACAATAGTGCACAAGGTTTTAAAGTCGACAAATGATTTTCCGCGGACTTTCTTCAACGTAGTTTTTGTTACTGCTATTAGTCTCTCCTAAAATCCACCATACCAGGGAGCACGATTCGGAATAAATCTCTACTGCACACCTAAATCTGCAATTTTACTTTGTACATTTTACGATTCAATTATTTGTTTGATTTGTTTTGAAGCTGCAACAAAGGTCAGTGCATTGTCAGTTAAAACAACTTTCGGTATAGACTTTCGACTTGTGAAACGGCGAAAAGCTTGCATAAAACATTCTGCTGATAGATTCGGCAAAACCTCTAAATGTACTCCTCTTGTTGATGCACATGGAAATAAGCACACATATGCTTTAGTTATATTTTTATGTTCGTCCCTTACATGTAGTGCTCCTGTAAAGTCGATACCGGTAACAGTAAATGGCGGTTCATCTTGTAGGCGTACTTTGGGTAAAGGCGGCGGATCCGGAGCCTTATACGAAGTCCTATTTACGTTAAGACATGCAGTACATTTAATAAAATCTTATTTACAAATTGACGAATGCACGGTATCCAAAAGTTTTAACGTATATGTGATATGGTACTACTAGTTCCTGAGTGTAGTAAATTCTCGTGTGCATCGCGTACTATCAACGTACTTAGCAGTGTGTTTGCTGGTAACAAAATAGGAAATTTAGCGGACTCGGGAATCGGTGCATTCGCTATCCTTCCTTTACATCGGATAATGTTGTCTGATCCAGAAATAAATTCAACTGACGAATCCTTGATAAATTCTATGTACGATCTCTTTTTACTAGCGTGTCGTATTCCTCGGAGTTGTTTAATATTTGGCATGACCGAATCCAAAAAAAGTGCTGACTTCTGTATTTCTTTCACATTACATGGACCAGCTGTTCTATCTTCCTTTGATAGTCTACGGTTTTGAATAAAGCGTGATACATAGGCTGTCGTTCGTAATAGTTTCTTGTATGAAGAAAATCTGTCAATTTCCAATAGTCGTGAATTCCTGTTGCTTTATTCTCAAGTGTTGGTTGCTGGACATCAATGTTATCAGTCAATGTAGATAATGCCGAGTTATTTTCAATCGTATGTACCGGGCGTTTTGTTGTAGCTACTATCCATAACGAACCATGCCTCCATAGCATGCTTTCTGTATATTGTGTCGCCGTTATTCCGCGTGTAAATATGTCTGCTGGATTTTGGTCTGTCGGACAGTATCGCCATCTATAGGGTCTTGTTAACTCGTTGATTTCAGCTACTCTGTTTGCAATAAATTGTTTTAGTGGTTTTGTCGACTAGAGCCAATTCAATACTATTTGACTGTCAGACCATAATTCTACGTTGCTAATGTTGGTAAACGTGGATAAAATGTGTTGTGTAAGTCTCGCGCCAATTACAGCTGCCATCAACTCTAACTGCGGTAGTGCTAAACTTTTAACCGGACCATAATCAATTTGGATTCATTCCCGTTGCAAAGTTTGGCTACTGAGCCGTAAGCTTTCAAGCTGGCATCAGAAAATACTTGTAGTGGTTTCGTTTTGTGTACCGGTAAAATAGCGTCTCGGAAAAGCAGTCTTAATACACTTTTGAATGTTTGTTGCGATGTCAATCCATGTTTCGCGTAACTTTGTAGGTAAGATCTCATCCCATTCGTAGTTTTCGCGCCAAAATTCCTGGAGAAATAATTGTGCTCTGATTATGATTGGACTCAAGTGGCCTAATGGGTCATATATCTTCGACGATTGCTTCAATTAATATCTCTCGTTTAGTGATATCTGTTTCCGATGTTAAGTGAATTTCAGGTTGTGCGAAATAAAGTTCGTCTTTTTGTACATCCCAACGCATTCCTAGTACTTTCGGTTTGGTGTCCTTGTCAAGTAGTTGCACATGCTATTGTCCGTAAAAGCTGACTGTTCGATGTCCAAGATCGGAGATTAAATCCACCTTTTGTTATTAATTCTCTGGCTTCTTTGTAATATTGTACGGCTTTCTTCTCATAAGTTACGCTTGATATAATTAATTTGCTCTGATTATGATTGGACTCAAGTGGCCTAATGGGTCATATATCTTCGACGATTGCTTCAATTAATATCTCTCGTTTAGTGATATCTGTTTCCGATGTTAAGTGAATTTCAGGTGGTGCGTAATAAAGTTCGTCTTTTTTGTACATCACAATGCATTCCTAGTACCTTCGGTTTGGTGTCCTTGTCAAGTAGTTTATCAGCACATGCTATTGTTCGTAAAAGCTGACTGTTCAATGTCCAAGATCGGAGATTAAATCCACCTTTTGTCATTAATTCTCTTGCTTCTTTGTAATATTGGACGGCTTTGTTCTCATATGTTACGCTTGATATAATTAATTATCAACATAAATGTCCTTTTCAATCATTCTAGCTGTGTCACTATTCTTTCCTTGAGTCTGTACATGCTTGAGTAAAGTTGCGCTCAGAATAAATGGGGAGCATGAAGCGCCAAAAAAGAACAGACTTAAAACGATATGTCACCAATTTGCTGTTTATGTTTTCTGCATCAGACATCTACAAAAATCTTGTCGCATCTCGGTCATGTTCGTGTAAACCTACGTGTAAGAATGCCTTTTCGATATCAGTTGAAATTGCGATGGTGTTTAATCGGAACCGCAATAATAGTTTTGTCAAGTCATTAAGAACGGGCGGTGTATTCATCAGGCAGTCGTTTAAGCTCGGGTACTGATCCGATTGTCTACAACTACAATCGTTTACGAATTGGTGTGGTTATCGAATCTTTTCTAACTGGGTTGTGCGTTATGTAATGTACTGTCTTGTCGTTACATTCCTCGTCATCAATTCTTTCAATGAAGCCTGTAAGTTCTTGGTTCTTTATAATATCGTCATACGTTTTCAACATACCTGGTTCTAGCCTTCTAATTACAGATTCAGTTCTTCGTTTTGCAATACTAAAATTTGTCGGAAGTTGATCATGTTCTCGTTTCCATGGTAATTTGGCAATATATTGACCGCCTTGAAATTCAATGCAAGTGTTCTTTAGAGTTGATTCCCATAGATTCTAAGTTCCAGAATGATGCGATGTCGAACTACTCGGTCTTATGCGAAATAAGGAAACAACTCTACAAATGTATTTTTAAGACTTTTGGTTTAATCTCCCGCGCAATTGTATACGAATTGTCCTCGAAATAATAAGGAAATGAAATATTTTTAATATATGAAGTACTTTAGTAGGTTCAGATCAGAAGAACTTCACCTTACTGATCAATGTTTTACTTCATTAGCTATATATATTTACAGTTGTAGACGACGTGGTTTCGTCTTTTGTGGTTTGTATTGCCTCTGTGACTTTTCACATGTGTTCTATTCTGCTTATACCATAACTGGATAACAGGTCGATAACAATTCGTTAAGTCATGGTTCATAATATCTTAAGATCCAGAATGTGATAATAAATGATATAATACAAAAAGGTAAAATGATTCTACAAGTGATGAAATAATATAGAGATAAATCACTCAAACATGCAAAGAATACAGAAATAAATACCCCACCCACAATCCCCCATCCAGACCCAATTGTATTCTATATCAATTCTTGTTATACAAATGTATGTAGTTTTCACCCAATTACAACGAAGGGAGAAATTTATACATCTTGGTAAACATACAGACGACATAACGGGATAAGAAAACTTGTTAAATACACATACATGGATATCCAAGTGAACACGTAACCTTTCTACGTCAAATTTTAAAAAGAATTTTGATAACTTTTAATCTAGTCACGGGATAGGGCTTATAGTTTACATCTCAAATATATGCTGTCCGATCTTAGCATTGCATTTGTATTTGCGATACGTGATTTTGCATTTATTTGGCATGATAATGTCTGATTTCATAAAATCTGATTGACTTTATAAAACTGCAAAAATATTCTACTTGATGGTGACTTCGACTTGTGTCCAGGCCGGATATACACAACAGTAAACTCAAATGCTCAGAACAAAGATATACAAAACACCATTGCTATTAGATATGTCAACGAATTTTGA